GGAATCAACTTCTTCCAAACTCCTGGTAAGGTTGATGTTTGATCTCTTTCCATGAATCACAAAGGTTAACGGTGAATTCTTTCAAGAAGGATTTCAATGGACTTTGCCCAGATCCATCAGAGGAATCACTGTCTAAGGCAGTTACAGCCTTACAAAATGTATTTCTCAATAATAAGCTTTGAAAGTCAAAATTACTCCTTGCTCTTTGGGCTGCAGAATGGATGTTCTGTCACTGGGTGTGAAAACAACATGAATCTCATTGTCCATCTCCATCAGAACTCTTGGGTGACCAGGTGCATTGTCATGAGCATTTTGAAAGGAGTCTTTTTCTGAGCAGTAGGTCTCAACATGTGGGCTTACTATTCAGTAGATCATGTTGTAAACAGATGTACTGTCATCCAGGCTTTGTTGTCCCATTCAGAGAGCACAGGCAGAGTAGATTTTGTATAATCTTAAGGACCCTAGGATTTTCAGAGTGGTAAATAAACATTGGCTTCAACTTAAAGTCACCAGCTCTTAAATTAGCTCCTAACGAGAGTCAGTCTGCCCTCTGAAGCCGGGCACTGACATCTCTATTCTAGCTATGACCATGCTAGATGGCATCTTCTTCTGTTTATAAGGCTGTTTTGTCTAGGTTGAAAATCTGTTAGTCATTGTAGCCACCTTCATTAATGATCTCATCGATCTTCTAGATCCCTTTCTGCAGCCTTGTATCAGTACTCACAGATTCATCTTGCACTTTTATGTTGTGGCTTCTTTCCTTAAACCTCATGAACCACCTCTGCTCGCTTTGTGCTTTCCTTCTTCAGCTTTCTTACCTCCCTCGGCCTTCATAGGTTTGAAGAGATGACCTGGCTCTGGATCACGCTTTCATTTAAGGCAGTGTTGTGTCTGGTTTGATCTTCTATCCAGCCCATTAAAGCTTTCTCTGCATCAGCAATAAGGCTGTTGCGCTCTTATTTTTGTGTGTTCACTTGGAGTAGCATCTTTAATTTCCTTCAAGAACTTTTCCTTTGCATTTACAACTTGGCTAACTGGTATAAGAGGCCTAGCTTTTCGTCTGTCTTGACTTTCGATGTGCCTTCCTCACTAAGCTGTCATTTCTAGCTTTGGATTTAAAGTGAGAGATGAGTGACTCACTCCTCCTTTCAGTTTCTAAAGGCCACTGGCCAGTTAGTAATTGGCTTGATTTCAGTACTGTTGTGTCTCCAGGAATAGGGAAGCCCGAGGAGAGGGCAAGAGATGGGGCAACGGCCAGTTGCAGGAGCGGACGGAACATGCACAACACTTTGGAGTGTGCTGTCTCAATGTCGGCGCAGTTTGTGGCGCCCCAGAACAGCTACACTAGTAACATCCCAGATCCCCGTAGTAAGTGCGGGAAGAATGAAAGCGTTTGAACTCCGGCGAGAAGTACGCGAATGTGACACAGACATGGAGTGAGCAAGTGGTGCTGTAGGCACCGCGGTGCTGACAGACGTGCCTGAGGCAGGGTCGTCACAGAACTTCAGTTTGTGTGAAGCGCACTAAAGCAAAGAGCAGTGAGCCCAGGTGTGCTTGTAATTTCCTCACTTACCACACCAGTGTTGTCATGTTCCCGATTGCCTCTTAAGTGATTTGTTAAGCAAATGTTCATTTATTTAGTTAGGGTTGTTTTTTTTTTAAGATTTGATTTATTAGAGAGCAGAGTGAGAGCACAAGCAGCGGTAGAGGGGCAATGGGAGGAGCAGACTTCCCGCCAAGCAGGGAGCCCAACATGGGGCTCAGTCCCGGGACCCCGGGATCATGACCTGAACTGAAGGCAGACACTTAACGACTGAGCCACCCAGGCGCCCCAAGGAAATGTTTGTTTAAACGATTGAGATCCACTGTTTTACAGAATCCATATTGCATTAGTAATAGAACTCATATTACATTTTATTCTCTGAGTTCCTCCTCTCTCCTCTTTTTTTTTTTTTAAGATTTTATTTATTTGACAGAGGCACAGTGCAAGAGGGAACACAAGCAGGGGTAGTGGGAGAGGGAGAAGCAGGCCTCCTGCCAAGCAGGGAGCCCGATGAGGGGCTCGATCCCAGGACCCTGGGATCATGACCCGAGCCGAAGGCAGACGCCTAACGACTGAGCCACCCAGGCGCCCCTCTCTCCTCTTTTTCTTAAAATTTATTGATGAGACCATCCTTTGTCCTATAGTTTCCCACAGTCTGGATTATGCTGCATCCCCATGGTGGTGATGACTGATGTGCTTCTGTCCCTTGTAAGTTGGTACTGAGATCTAGAGGTTGCGTATATTTGCATTGGTTTTGGCAAGCTACTTTCTAAGTGCTGTTGTGTCCTCTGTTCAGGTGTGGAAAGCTGTTGTCTTCTGTTGAGTTAGTAACCACTGATGATCAGTGCCTACGTTAGGGGTTGCAAATTGCTGAGTCTCAAATTCTGGCAGTCATTCATTGATTAGCTGGAATTCATTGCTTAGCTGGAATACGCCTATATAAACAAATTGCCCCTCAGTAACCATTGAGCAACTCGGTGGTACCATTTACATAGGAAAGGCAGGGAGATTTCTTGATTTTTGACTGTTGGCCACTTTGCAGAATAACAAGCGGATTCCCCAGCATCTCCCAAAGGTGACTGATGAATTTTTTACATCAGTATGCACTCATGCATTTAAAAACAGTTGAGGGGCGCCTGGGTGGCTCAGTTGGTTAAGCGACTGCCTTCGGCTCAGGTCATGATCCTGGAGTCCCTGAATCGAGTCCTGCATCGGGCTCCCTGCTCGGCAGGGAGTCTGCTTCTCCCTCTGACCCTCCCCCATCTCGTGTGCTTTCTCTCTCATTCTCTCTCTCTCAAATAAAATCTTTAAAAAATAAAAAATAAAAACAGTTGAGATCACAATTATTCTCATTAGCAGTTTGTAGATTTGAGAATTTGTGAGAAGATAGGTATTCAGTCTGTTAGAAATGATGAAGGCTGGAAGAGAAGGTATATTCAGTATAGGAAACTATAGATACAGTAACTCAGGCATATTCATTATGTATGTGTTAGACCCAAAGGTTCTCAGACATTCTCAGTTCAGAGCACCCCTATGTAAGGTTCCGTAATTATTCTGAGGGACTGCCTAGGCCAAAAATACCTAACAGTTCCATTAATTAAATAGTCTAAACAACTTAAGTATTTATGTCCTAGCAACTTAGAGACATTTGGAAAAGTAATATACAGTCCCTAACTCACAATGGTTCGTCTTAAGAGTTTTGACTTTATAATGTGCAAAAACGATATGCATTCATTAGAACCCATACTTTAAATTTTGAATGTCGATCTTTTCCTGGGCCGATGATGTGCGGTAGGATCCTCTCTCGGGATGCTGGGCAGTGGCAGGAACCCCAGTGCCCAGTCGGCCACGCGGTCACGAGGGTAGCAGTCAATACCCTTGGCAGACGTTGTTTTTCACTGTCCGTACAGTATTCAGCAAATTACATGAGATATTGAATGCTTTATTATAAAATAAATAGGTTTTGTGTGGGAGGATTTGGCCCAACTGTAGGCTAATGTCAGTGTTCCGAGCACATTTAAGGTAGGCGAGCCTAAGCTATGGTGTTAGGTAGGTTAGGTGTATCAAGTGCATTTCAACAGTATTTTCAACTTGCAGTGGAAAGTTATGGTTCTCAGTATGGTTACAGCGGTTACCAGGACATAACCCTTGTTATAAATTGAGGAAGATCTGCACATATGAATTTGAAGAAGAAATATTTTCAATAAGTCACCAGAATTACTTAGGAATGGAACATAAGCCTGTTGGGCACTTTTACAGTCATGGAATCAGAGTGGACGCTGCCATCACTGGTGCCTGCTGCGCACGGATTGTCACACGGTGAGAACATTCTCAGTAACTGCAGAAACCTAGCCTTGCAGAGACCTGCAGCATCGGAGAGGAATGTAGCAGGAGAAACTGTTGAAACCGTGAGCACCTAAACCACAGTGTCCAGCCATGTTATCACTGTTCCCCCTCAGAAGCTGCGTGTCCTGTGGCACCCGGCAGGGTCATAGTGTGGCCAGATGTGTCTTAGCGCACTGTGTGGGAACCACAGCTGTGTGTCCTTCCCATTTCCGTGGTCATCCTCGCCCCAGGGCTACATGTTGGTGTGAGGCCACCCCCACCCCCAGAGCGTTCAGGAGCAGGTCCCAGGGTCTTGTGGCAGTTACTGTGACATGCAGGCCACCAACCTGCACAGAGGTGTTCCTTTGCCACCATTGTTGCCAGCCTTAGTGCTTAGAGGATGTTTTCCTTATCCTTTGATTTCAGCCACACCAGAGCTGAAGACCTGGCTTTGACTTCAGGAAACCATTGTGACGTGCAGTTTCCCCTTCCCGTCTCTGGTGCAGGGTTTAACCAAAGAGGGTGTCAGTCTTTCAGGATTGATGTAAAAATAGTTCAGCCTGATCAGAGAAGGTGGTCTTCTGTCAGCGCTCATTTCTCTGCTGTCAGAACTGAAAAATGCTAGAAGCATGGGGCTTCCTACCTTTCCCTGGCACCTAGTCTGTGTCTCCGTGTGGGGCTGGGCATGGGAGGAGTGTACCCGGACTCCCCACTGTTGGTGTTGGGCCTGGCCATTGTGGAGGCCAAAAGAATGTGGTCAGAGGTGGCAACATGCAATTTGTGAACTGGGGCCTCTGGAGGCATCGTTTATTTGCTCCTCTGGAAGTTTCACCTTCCACCGTTTACAAGACTGTGCCTTGGGTAGCTGCAGGCCTGTGAGCATGGGGAAAAAATGCATATGTTGTACACTGAGTTTGGGGATTGCTTGTTACACAAGAGCTGACTGATAAAAATGGAAAAGAAGTCCATGAGAAAAAGGTAGGAGAGTGACAGAAGTAGAGCATTTGAGAGGGTTATTATTCTTAAGGATAAGATGGATTTTTAAGATGTGATATGTGTCTTCCGTGAAATGTTATCTGTTGATACTTAAACCCAAGAGGAGGGCAGTGACAGTTTTATCCCCATTTTATAGATGAAGACAATGAAGCTCAAAATGAGAGTGAAGATGCGGGGCGCCTGGCTGGCTCAGTCGTTAAGCATCTGCCTTCAGCTCAGGTCATGATCTCAGGGTCCTGGGATCAAGTCCCCCATCGGGCTCCCTCTACTTCTGTCCCTCCCCCCTGCTTCTGCGCATGTGTATGCTCTCTATCTCAAATGAATAGATAAATCTTTAAAAAAAAAAAAAATGGGTGAAGATGCAGCAGGTGAGTCTGGTGCGGGCCCCAGACCCCCAACTCCTGGTCGAAGCTCTTTTGCGGGCTGTGTTGCTTCTCCCGCAGGCCCAACTCTGAGGGCAGCCGACAGGGCAGCCGTGCACTGGGCCTGGCTCTTGGTACAAGTGGGGCCACAGTGAGGACCTGGGAGGGAGGGCAGAGACCACACCAGGGAGCTCCGCAGGGCACAAGGGCAGCGATTTGCCCAGGAGGGGTGTGCTGAGAACTGGAAGGACCAGGTAGCCGCAGGGTGACACTTGTGCCACCTATGGGCGGCATCCCACGTTCGGTCAGAAGCGGGGCTGGTGGCCTCCCTCTGCGTTTGCTCCCAGGTTTCCCTCGAAAGGTCCGGCAGGGGGTGTCTAGAAACGAGTGCCCGGGAGAACGGGCTCTAGGCACCTGCGCTGCACACACCAACAGTCTTGCTTGCTGAGCACAATCTGGATTTTGATGTGCTTAAAAACTCAGAGATGGAGAATGGGAGAGGCAGCAAGCAAATCTTTGGTCAGGCTGTGATGGGCGTGCTGGCAGCTTGAGGGCCAGGCCACCTCACTGCACAGGAGGGACACGTGAACGGACTGGTGTGACAGACACAGCTGTCTGTCAGCAGGCTTTCATTACCTTGGACTCCGGGTCTTGTTGGTTTACCTTCTGACCGGTTTTTCATCCCCTCTGCCACCTCCTGCCCCGTGAGGCTCTGGCTGGATCCGCACTTCCCTGACCCTTGCCTCGAGGCCTCCCCGGCTTCCTGTCCTCCAGTCCCGCAGCCCCTCCTCATGGGCGGAGTCCCTTCCGGGGGGTCGTAATGGCTCCCAGAAGAGATCCCTGGCCTAATTCCTGGAACCTCTGAACATTAACTTAGGTGGCAGGAGATAGATTTTGCAGCTGCGATCAAGTCAAGGCTCTTGAGATGGGGAGAAGGTTCTGAAGGTCCGGGAGGATGCTAAATCCCATCCCATGGATCTTGTAAGAGGAGCGGAGAGAACTGACACAGAGCAGGGTGCCGACGTGGGCGGAGTGGGGTGACCTGGAGCCCCCAGGAGCTGGAGATTCAGGGAACCTTCCCCTCATGTCTCTACGGGAGTGCGGCCCCCGGGACACCTTGTGGGGTGACCTGGAGCCCCCAGGAGCTGGAGATTCAGGGAACCTTCCCCTCATGTCTCTATGGGAGTGCGGCCCCCGGGACACCTTGATTTCAGCGCCGTGTAATGGATTTTGGTCTTTGGCCTCGACGGCTGTTAGAGAATACATTTTTGTCAATTTAAGCCACCAGCTTTTTAGTGACTTGTTTCTGCAGACACAGAAAATGACTACAAACAGGACGGTCAGGGATTCCAAAACAGAAATGACTGGACATGAGGCCTAGTCCAGAGCCTTCAGCTGCTTGATGGTGTCCCTGACTCAGTCACCTGGGGTCACCTCCGCCTGGAACACACACTCTTCACCCTAAGGTTCCCTGTTGCCTTGCTGGCAATGGAGGTGGGCCCCACATCCCGCCGCTTCCTGGGGCCCACGGCACGTGCTCCGCAGGGAGAGCCTGACTTCCAGCCCAGTGGCCTGCAGCCCACACTGCGGACCCATGAGGAAGCGGTGGTTGGGCCTCACGGGGGATGGCCGGCTTCGACCTGTGGCTCCAAGGTCATCTCCAGACTGGAACACAGCCGGGCCCGCCCCCGGCACACACCTGCTACCTCCCCCTCCCCCTCGCTGGGAGAGCAACATGTGTGAAGGACATGGGCACTTTGGCCCGGTCATTAGACTTTAAAACCAAGTGCACATAGTATCCGGTGCTCTCTTTACAGCAGCAAGAACCTGTGCCTGTTGCGATAGGTGCACGCCAGCCAATCAGGTGTGTGGGAAAGCCACACAGGCCGCACCATTGTTCTCCGTCCCCCAGGTGATGCCCTGGGAAAGGTCACAACTGCCTAAAGCTTTAAAACCCCAGGGGAAAACAAACATTCCCTGTGCTGGGACTCAGCTGCAGCTCTGTACGGTCTGTCATCCGTTTTTTAATTCACTCCCCTTTGCAACTAATTTTTCTTAAAGTAGCAAAAGGAGACCATTGATACCGATCAGAGAATATCTATTCCTAACTCTTGTAAGAATTCCCATCGTCCTTGTAGAAGCTGACCTTCAGGTGAGTGAGTGGTGCCCCAAGGGCAGTGTGACACAGGGCCCATGGAAAAGGGGTGCCAGGCCTGGAGGCCCCTCAGGTGACTGGCCCCTCGGGAAGAGCTCTTGCCAGTTCAGGCTGGGTGGGTGCCTGGAGCAGGGAGGGCAGTGAGCTGGTGTCCCAGCAACAGAGGGCCAGGGGCTACCTCGGGCTGGTGATTTTCACAGGGGCTGGTCTTCTGGCAGGTGGAGTGAGAAGACCCCAGGGTGCTTCACTTAGCTGTTTGGCTCTCTGGACACTGGGGAGAGGGTTGTGAGTCTCAGCCTGGCCTGTTCAGCATAGCCTGCAGAAACAGGATTTACTCAGCTTTGGGCTCCACCTGGTTGGACTCTGGGGGAGGAGGAGGCACTGTCCTATTTCCAGACTCACAGGTAAACATCCCTCCTGTTCCAGGATGAGAGGAGCCAGGCTGATGGGGGCACTGCTCACCCTGGCTGGCCTGCTGCGGGTGGCCCTGTTCCTGAAAATAGCAGCCTTCAACATCCGAACTTTTGGGGAGACCAAGATGTCCAATGCCACGCTCTCCCACTACATCGTGCAGGTCAGTCCAGGCCGGCCTGTCCCCGAGGAACCCCAGGGCGGGGGGGTGGTTGTGGTTGGGGGGGGGGGGAGGAGACATATAACAGGTTCTGGGAACACTGGGGCAGCAGCCAGTCCTGAGGGCGACCACAGACGGGGGTGTGGAGAGCCTCTGGTGACAGGGAGGACCCCTGTCTGCTGTTCTATCCATGGCTGGCAACAGAATCCCAGGCAGGAGCACCAGGCCAAACCATGACCTGAAGGTGCCCCAGGGAGCAGCTCAGCCCTTGTGGGGACCTGCAGCCGCTGTGCACCCAGGCTGCCCTGCTCAGCACCAACGTGGTCCTGTCCACAGATCCTGAGTCGCTACGACATTGTTGTCATCCAGGAGGTCAGAGACAGCCACCTGACAGCCATGGGGAAGCTGCTGGACATACTCAATCGGTGGGTGATGGCCAGGGGGGCAGGGTGGGCGCTGGGGAGGCACGGGATGGTGATCCTCCCCCCGGGGCATGGTACCATTGCCTGACAGAGCCAGGAGCCCTGCTGTAGGCAGCAGGAGGGTTCCCTGGGGGCCCCCTGACAGGCACGTTTGTTTCCTTGATCCAGGGATGACCCCAACACCTATCAGTTCGTGGTCAGTGAGCCCCTGGGCCGGAACAGCTACAAGGAACAGTACCTCTTCTTGTTCAGGTAAAGCCCCAACGCCGAGAGATGGGGGCCACCCGCGGACACTGAGGGGGACCTCGTGGGCAGTAGTCTGTCCTACGGGGAGGAACTGGAGGCCACAGAGCAGGAGCCGAGAGCCTGGGGCCCTGGTGTGGGCCGCACCCCCAGTCCCAGGCTAAGCCCCTGGCCTTCCCTAGACCCAACCAGGTGTCCGTACTGGACAGCTACCAATATGACGACGGCTGCGAGCCCTGCGGGAACGACACCTTCAGCCGCGAGCCCACCATCGTCCTGTTCCACTCCCCGTTCACCGGTATGCACGCCTTCCTGGGGCCCCTGGAAAGCCCTGGTCCCCCCTAGTGCTTCAGTCTGACGTTGAAGGCACTCAGGAACACACCGCCTTGGGACTGGCTCATACCCCCACCCCGGGGCTGAGCAGGACCACCCTCTCCCCAGCGGTCCAGGCCTTCGCCATTATTCCCCTGCATGCGGCCCCCTTGGACGCCGTGGCGGAGATGGACTCGCTCTATGACGTCTACTTGGATGTCCGGCAGAAGTGGGACCTGGAGGTGAGTCCCCCACCCCAGGCTCCTGGGGCATGTGCTGTGTGCCCAGGCCAAGTGGCTGCCGTCTACTTAACTAGGACATCATGCTCATGGGCGACTTCAATGCTGGCTGCAGCTACGTGGACCCCTCCCAGTGGGCCTCCATCCGCCTGCGCACGAACCCGGCCTTCCAGTGGCTGATTCCTGATACCGCAGATACCACGACTACGGCCACGCACTGTGCCTACGACAGGTAGGGAGGGGGTCGGCTCTGGGAGCAGCCTTGACTCCTAGGTCTAGCTTCCCAAAACCTGGGTCAGTCACCCTCCTGGGCCCTTCTCGTGTGTGGCAGGATCGTGGTGGCAGGAACGCTGCTCCAGCATGCCATCGTTCCAGACTCGGCCACCCCCTTTGACTTCCAGGCTGCCTACGGCCTGAGCAGCCAGCTGGTAGGTGTCCTCCCTTATGTGCTTCAGCTTTGCTGGGACCCCAGGACTTCTGGCAGTCTCTGTATCAACCTCTGCCACTGGGACTAGCATGTGGTGTGCGGAGGGGGGGGGGTACCATGTGCAGAGTGGGCCGTGCACCCGTCCTCACTATGCGTTTCCCCACAGGCCAAGGCCATTAGCGACCATTACCCAGTTGAGGTGATGCTAAAGACGGTTTGATGTGACTGGGGCCCGGGCTGGTGACCTCTACCCTCTCCAGCTTGCCTGTCCTCATGGTAATTTTCCTCTGAGCACCCTCCCCCACTGTTCCCCGAAGGAAGTAGACCTGGCACTACCTCTGCTTCCAGCATGAGCAAGGGCCTTGTGGCAACCGAGCTACTCCCTGCCTTTGCAGTCCAGACACAAGTTTACCATTTAGAGTAACAAATGCTTTTAAGCTAAATAAAGCTCAAAGGGGGTGTTGTCATCGGTGGCACGTAGTCCTTCTTTCTCCCTGGCTGGTCTCAGACTGCCTCGTCCTTCACCTCCACTTGAGCCCTAGTCCCTGCACGTAGACTGGGGGCCTTCACGCCGGCGGCCCCTCAGCGTCGCTCCAGGGCCTTGACAAGCAGGTGGTTCAGGCGGCCCACCATGGGGCGGGGGTCATCGACGAGCCCCGCGGCAATCATGGCGTTCTCATAGATCTGAAAGGGAGGGCTAACCTCATCAGGGGGAGGACAAAAAGGGGGAGCACTACCTTTTTCAAAATGGGGTATTAGGGGCACCTGGGTGGCTCCTAGTCATGATCTCAGGGTCCTAGGATTGAGCCCTGCACTGGGTTCCCTGCTCAGCAGGGAATCTGCTTCTCCCTTTCCTGCCGCCCCCACCCCCGCCCTGCAAAATCTATGGAAAAACAAACCAGGATTTTAAAGGTAACAGGTGTCCCACTTCAACAGACGATGTGGGCACCGCAGTTCTGCTCTCTGCCCGTCCCCAGGAGACTCACCTGATCAACTAGTAGCTGGGCCAGGTCAGGCTCGCTCGCTCTCAGCTGACTGAGCTTCTTGATCAACGTGTGTCTATAGCACAGAAAACACCAGAAATTAGCTCAAGGGCCTCTGTGTTCTGATGACTTTTCTGAGTATAGGGTTATCTGAATCCAGTGTAAGAAGTACAATGGGGCGCCTGAGTGGGTCAAGCAACTGCTTTTGGCTCAGGTCATGATCCTGGGGTCCCAAGATCGAGCCCCATGTTGGGCTCCCTGTTCAGTGGGGATTCTGCTTCTCCCTCTCATGCTCTCTAATAAATAAAATCTTAAAAGAAAAAGCACATAATATCAATTTCAGATAATATACCAAGACGACCAGAACAAATAGATTTGATTAGCAAATGCAGCAGTACCAAAATTAATATATGAAAAAGACATTAGTTGGGTGGCTCAGTTGGTTGGGCGACTGCCTTTGGCTCGGGTCATGATCCTGGAATCGAGTCCCACATCGGGCTCCCTGCTCAACAGGGAGTCTGCTTCTCCCTCCGACCCTCCCCCCTCTCATGTGCTCTCAAATAAACCTTTAAAAAAAAACATTAGTTGTCAGTCAGAAACCCTACTTAATCCATACATTTTCCTTTTTTTTTTTTTTTAAAGATTTTATCTATTTGACAGAGACACACAGCGAGAGAGGGATCACAAGCAGGGGGAGAGGCAGAGGGAGAAGCAGGCTCCCCGCAGAGCAGGGAGCCCGATACGGGGCTCGATGCAAGGCATCATGACCTGAGCCGAAGGCAGACGCTTAACGACTAAACCACCCAGGTGCCCCCATACATTTTCCTTTTTAAAAAAGTCTTTATTAAATTCAAGAAAATCTTTTTTAAAATATAAATATGGAGGAAGTGTATCATAAGGCTCCAGTAATTGGGACTGCTGGCTCTGAAAAGCCAACATCTGGGGCCCCATGTTGGGTGTAGAGCTTACTCTGAAAATGTAACATTAAAACAAAAAGCCGATAGCATTTTGGGGTGCCTGGGTGGCTCAGTCAGTTAATTAAGAGTCTGCCTTCAGCTGGAGTCCTGGGATTGAACCCTGTGTCAGGCTCCCTGTTCAGCAGGGAATCTGCTTCTCACTCTCTCTTGAATGAATAAAAAGAGACCGCCTAAGTGTACGTGAGGGAGGGTAACTGGCCAATCACTCAGAATGCTACTGGATTCCTTAGATCAAAAGAAATACATTTAGAGTAAAACAATTTTAGAAGGACTTTTGAAGCAAAATACACAGAGATCAAAAAGGAGAGAGCTTTGGGCGCCTGGATGGTTAAGCGACTGCCTTTGGCTCAGGTCATGATCCTGGAGTCCCGGGATCGAGTCCTACCATCAGGCTCCCTGCTCAGATTCTCCATCCCTCTGCCCCCTCTCTGTAAAATAAATCTATAAAATTACTACTGTATACAAAATCACTCCAAAAAATCTTCATATACAATTTCAAGTTAGAAAATGGAATTTCAAAATATCCAATAAATAAGGTACATCATAAGGAATGTGCAATACCTCTACAGTTACCAAAAAATAGTAAGACCTAAATGGAGAAATCTGGCATGTTCCTGGATGAAAGATTGGACATAAAGATGCCAGTTCATTCAAAATTGACTTGGGAGCCGTATAATCTCAACCACAAGCCCAACTGGGGGGGGGGGGGGGGCGGGGCGGACACCTGTCAGGTCACCTCGTCCAAGCACAGACCTACAGGAGGGAAGATATCCTTGAAGGGAAATAAGGGGGGACTCACTGAATACAGACCGTGCACTGTGGCCACCTGATGCTGGACAGAGACGTCAAGCCGATCAGCAGGGAGGACATACAGGAGCAGTCATGGCACAGGGCAAGCGGGTGTTCATGTGGAGTGAGATACAACAACTCTCCCACATCCCAAACTAATTAGAGATGGACTAAAACCTTAAAGCTTTTAGACAGAAAGAATACATTCAAGACTCTGGGGGCGCCTGGGTAGCTCAGTCGTTAAGCGTCTGCCTTCAGCTCAGGTCATGATCTCAGGGTCCTGGGATCGAGCCCCGCACTGGGCTCCCTGCTGGTGTTCCCTCTCTCGCTGTGTCTCTCTCTGTCAAATAAATAAATCTCGGGGGGAAAAAAAAAGATTTCTCCAAAAAGACCTAGAACAGCAGTGAACACAGACTTCCAGCGTTGGGAGGGGACGGGTGCAGTGGGCGAAGGGGTTGAGGGGCTCAAACTTCAGTTGTAAAGTCAGTCATAGGATGAGAAGTACAGCAGACAACCATCGGTAACAGCACGGTGACGGGGTAAGGGACTTCTCGTGGTGAGCCTGTTGTAATGTCCATAAACGTCAACATCACTGTGTTGTACGCCTGAAACTAACACCGTATGTCAACTAGACTTCGACCAAAGTAATGAGTTTTTAAAAATTATGATTTCATTAAAATTAAGAACTTCTCAGAACACATCTTTAGGCAGATGAAACGACACTGGAAGGAGACACTGGCAACCGAGAAAGCGTACATTAACTACGAAACAGAACAGGAAAAAGGACAGTCTTGGGCGTGTCATGAGAACGCCAAGCTGAAGGACAGTGCGCGCAGGGCCCGGGGCCGCCCGTGCCAGCAACGTGCGGGCAGTGGCGTCTCCTCGACCCACGGAGGGCACCTGGGCAGGTGAGCCTCAGGCACCCCAGAGACACGTGCGGGGTTCAGAGCAACCTGTTCCCAGCAGCCCCCAAATGAGAACAACTCACAAGTCCACCAAGAAAGACTAAATCGCTGCGCTGAGGCAGACTCCGACCGGTCACTCCGCCCCGGACACGACCGCACCCCCGGCCGCCCTCCCCGGGCACCACCTGTCGCTGAGTGAAGGAAGCATGACTTCCGAAGCACGTGCCCAGGGACTCCACCGACAGGCCACTCAGACTGTCTCCAGGACGCACGGCGGATGGTCGGACTAGAGCACGGGGAGGAACTCTCAGTCTCTACAGCAAGAGCTGTGTGGCCGCTGAGGAGGAACAGGCCCCCACCGGGCCACTTGCGGTGTTCTAGAACCTCCCGCAGGGGGGTGGGGGAGGGAGTGTAAACTGAAATGCAGTTGGATCACACAGGTGGTGTCTTTATGGTCACCAAACTGCATGTAAGCCTTTTGCCCTTTGTAGCTGTCAGAGACAAAGCACACACACAACTGTGGATTACCGGGCAGGGGAGAATCGTGCCCTGGGCCAGAGGGGCCGGGAGCCTACCTGGGGTTGATCTCCAGCGTGGGCTGCAGGAGCTGAGCGCGCTCCTCCTGGGTCTTGGCCAGCTGCTGCATGCGCAGGAAGTGCCGGGCGGCCCCCATCTCCAGCACGGTGATCATGGCAGGGTGGGTGTCCAGTCGAAGAGTAACCTACAAGCAAGGCCAGGGACCCGGTGAGGGAAGAGCCAGAGGTGGGGCGGGGGGGGGGGGGGGGGGGGGAGGGCCAGGCTGCAGGGTCTTGACCAGGTCGGAAGCTTCCCCAGGTGACACAAAAGAATTCAGGTCTCTGGGGACAACGCCCCCCGACCCCCCGACCCGATGCACTACTGAGAAGGGAGCCCGAGCCGCTGCCACACGAAGTTCCTGGGACAGAATCCTGACTGGGGACTCCCTCCTCCCGTGTCCCTCACAGCTACCGCTTTCTCACGAATCAGTGGCTGTCCCAGGACCATCCTGCCTGGTCACCCATGCCTCTCGGCTGCACGGGGGCCATCACCGAGTCCTACGACTATCTAGGACCCTGGAGGCCCACCCATCCCGATGGCCCAAGCCTCCTTCCTGCAGACAACGCTCTCACCACCCCTCCACCCCTGCCCACGGCTCCCAGGGGCCTTAGGTCATCCGGGCGTGCCTCCTCCCCCCAAGCGTTCATGCCCCCGGTGCCGTGTGCGCACATGTAGGAGTGGCAGCAACATGCTCGTCTCCACCCCAGGTCACGGCCTCGAGCGCCACCGGAGACGCACACGAAGCCAGCCACTCAGCCCACAGCAGCGGGGTCACAGAGGGCCATGGCAGCTGGGAGGTGGCCCGTCCCTCTGGAAGGCCTCACCTTCACGTTGGTGACACGGGACCCCAGCACATTTCTGATCCAAGCCATCAGGTCCTCCGTCTCCTTCTCCGACAGGCGGTCACCAGCTACAGGAGAGAAGGCAGTGGGCTCTGAGCTGTTACCGGCGACCCCACCCCCGGGGATCCTGCCGGGGCCTGAAACGCTAAAGCCCCAAGAGCGGGTTTTAAGAAGGCTCCCTCCACCCCCTGGCTGGCCGCCAGCACAAAGAAGCTTCCCAAAAGGCTCTTCACCTAAAAGCAAGCAGGTAAAACTGGACCTCAAAAAGGGCATTTTGGGGGTGCCCGGCTGGCTGAGCCGGTAGAGCATGTGACTCTTGCTCTCAGGGTCACAAATTCAAGCCCCACAGTGGATGTGGAGCCTACTTTTAAAAAAGGACACTTTTGGTTGCCTGA